CGGGGTTTCTGCTTTATTTTCTAGTTCAGTTGACCGTGTGTTACATATTACATTTTGTTTCACATGTGTACTCAATGGTTCAATTATCGGCTTAAATGCCTCACGGAAATAGTTTTCAGAATCTATAACACCACGTTTCATTTCCATTATTTTTCGTTGTATATTTTGTTTTGATGTTATTAAATTTTCCAACAAGACTTTTTCTTTGTTCATTGTAAATAATAAATGCAATATATCTGTATCGTATGACTACTGATTACACTATGCAGATAATAACTGTGTGACGGTATATTTATATAAGCACATAAAATTATTTTATTTTAATGAATGTATGAAAACCGCATCTATACCTTCCTTCATTCATTTCTCGAGTTTTATCGATAACCATAAACCCATAATAGCTATGATTCCAGCATAAATGAGAAATTTTCCGAAATTCTGAGAAATCCATATCTGCAGACGAATGATCGTTGAATATATGTCGTAAATTTGTATCATCTTGTTTCAGTATTATTAAAAAGTTTGCGTTATCTCTTACAAGCTGTTTTGATATTTTAGAATATGTCTGTGCTAAATAAAATACGGAGCTGGCACCTGAATGCCTACCAATGCTAAAGTATTCTCTGATTACAGATTGTGGGCCGCACATCACATCATCAAAAATTATAATAGAATTTTTCTTCGTTAAGTTTGGTTTTATAACCTTATCAGCGCTTGTAAATATGAAAAAATTAGCACCTTTTATATCATCTATTATTTTTTTCAATAAAACATATTTTTCCTGATTAGAGGTTTTCGAGTATAAATAAATATTTTCAAATCTTAACCCGTTTGCATGTGTGATCAGATTATACATTATATTTGTTTTTCCTGAGCCACTGGGACCAACTAGTATAGCACGTATAGTATCGGGTAATAACGAACCATGTCGTGAAGGTTTTTTTACTACCTGAACATCTACATTTGTAACATCCAATTTATCTTTCTGTTCTATCAAATCCATATTATTTTCTTATAAATACTCTAGAATTTTCCAATTTATAGTCAGTTATAGATGGCGGGTTCAACTCGTAAGTACAATTCAAACAAGACTGGTAAAGGATTTGTAAACTCCCTTATAAATAGTCTCCCGTTCGAAGCCCATGTTTCTGGATATCAGTATTGTGGTCCTGGCACGAAATTAAAAAAGAGACTAGATCGTGGTGATAAAGGAATAAACCCATTGGATGCTGCTTGTCGTGATCACGATATTGTGTATGCAACGAGTAAGAATTTAGACGATAGACATAAAGCTGATAAAGTGTTAGAAAATCGTGCTTGGGAAAGATTTAAAGCAAAAGATACACCTAGAAAAGAGAAATTAGTTGCGTACGCAGTAACAAACGCAATGAAAGCTAAAAGAAAAATAGGTATGGGTTGTAAACGGAAAAGTGCTATAAAAACAAATGGTATACTAGCAGCGAAGATAAAAAGAATCTTAAAGAAAAAGAATGGCGGTAAAAGACTGATTTTAGCACCGAGACAGTCAGGAGGTGTAATTCCCTTAATACCTATATTTGCGGGATTGTCAGCACTTGGTAGTTTGATGTCTGGAGGTGCTAGTGTGTATAATGCGGTTCAAAATTCAAAAAGAAAAAAAGGTAGCGGTTTGAAATCAAACAAGAATAGGTTAAGAAAAAAAAACTGATGATCACGCTACCTGACAGACCGCTTTCGTCTCAAGATATTATAAAATATACTGGAAAGTTGAAAATCAATCATTTCCGTGGAGTCTTTTCACGTGATAACTTACCTAAAAAACCGCACGCTATTGAATGTGGTATATTAAACTTGGATATATCTTCAGGCGGTGGAAGCCATTGGGTAGCGTTTTATAAAAATAAGGACAAAGTTGTATATTTTGATAGCTTTGGTGATTTACCCCCACCAATTGAATTACAACATTATTTCAGACAGTTCAAAATAGTATATAACTATTCCAACTATCAAGACTTCAATACATTTAACTGTGGTCATTTATGTCTTGAATTTTTACAATGCATGAATCTATTACATTAAGTTTGACTGGAAATTCAACTGTATTATCTGTAAATTATTTTCCACCTATAAACCTTTACGATGACTCAGAAATAGCTTTGTTATGTTTACAGTCATTTAATTCATTCCCAAATATTAATGAAAATAATAATAAATTTTCTATACAAGTAGTTGATAATGAAAACAATAATAATCCTATGATATGTTTTATTACATTGGAAGAGGGTTGTTATGAAATTGAAGATATTAAGGATCGAGTTAAGAAGCAAATAGTTGCCTATAATAGTAAAAACTTAACCAATTTAACATTCGACATTACGGTTGATCCTGATGATTTCAGATCGTATATAAAATGTAATGGGATACTACACTTTGAATATCCATTTAGTATAGCACCTGTATTCGGTTTTGAAAAACGAGTATATAATCCATACAACATTCTTCGATCGGAAAAAGCTGTAAATTTAAACACAATTAATTCTATAAAAGTAATGTGTAATATAGCTCAAGGATCATTCAGCAACCATCTTCAGAGTCATTCGATTTATGAGTTTTTCCCGAGTGGAAAGACAGGGTCGAAAGTAATTCAGGCACCGCCAAATTTAATATATTACAAATTGAATAAAACAAATATTGATTCGATAACCGTTCAGTTAGTTGATCAAGATCATAATCCGATTGATAATTTTGGTGAGGCATTGACAATCGTGTTACATATTAAACGTTACGGGTCTTGAGATGGGGTTGAAATTCAATATAAACCCGCTACTTCGGATCAGCACAACTAGTCATAAGACTAAAGTGTTACCAGCAACATCAAATAAGATAAAAAAATTAACGGAAAAAAATAAAAAAATTTTACAAGCTCTGGGTTATCAATTAAAGCAGAATGCCTGAGAGTGATATTTTAGATATAACTTCACAGTACGAAACGGATTCTAAAATTACGAAAATTGAATATCATTCATACACACCGTATACTACATCATTTAATAATAATGATGAAATACGTATATCAATCCAGCAAACGGATGTCTACCCATATCTACACGAAAGCTTTATTTTTTTGGAAGGAACAATTACTGATGCTACCAAAGTGAAACTATCTAATAACGGTTACTCTTACCTCTTCGAACAAATACGATTGGAAATCAATGGGATAGAAGTAGATAGCACACGTGTTCTTGGAATCACCAGCTCGTTGAAAGGTTACTTATCCGGTACGCCAGATAACTACAATTGTTATGAAAATGCTGGCTGGAATTTTAAAAACGCAACGCAATCGGAAAATGAAAAAGGTGAATTTAGTGCTTGCATACCATTGAAATATTGGTTAGGATTGTTTGAAGACTATAAAAGAATATTAGTGAATTCTAGATTGGAATTAATATTAACCCGAAGTCATAGTGATTTAAATGCTTTACAAGTTAAAAGTGGTGCAACTGCTACTGAAGGTAAAATCACCTTAAATAAAATAGTCTGGAAGGTCCCACATATAACGGTCGACGATGAAGAAAGGTTGAAATTATTGAAACTTATAGAAAAAGAAAAAAGTCTATTTATCCCTTTTAGATCTTTTGAAACTTTTGAATATCCTGAACTCGGAACCACTAAAAAAGTTGTATGGAATTTGAAAACTGCTTCAAAATTAGAAAAACCACGATTTATCATAATTGGATTACAAAAAGGACGCAAAAATTTGCTAACAAAAGATTGTAGTATATTTGATCATTGTAATTTAACAAACGTTAAAGTATTTCTGAACTCTATAGCTTATCCATACGATAATTTGAATTTAGATTTTACTAAAAATAACTTCACCTTATTATATAATATGTATACATCGTTTCAAGAATCGTACTATGAAAAAAGTATTCGCAACCCGATATTGAGTCCTTCTACTTTTCTGACAAACGCTCCAATTATAGTTATCGATACTTCGAAACAAAACGATTCAGCCACAGCCTCAGCAGTGGATGTTCAATTGGAAATTGAAGCTTCAGAATCGTTCTCAGGTGTGACTGCTTACTGTTTCTTAATTCATGATCGTATTGTAGAATATGTACCTTTTACTAGAGAAGTAAGAAAACTTGTGTAAATATTATTAAGAATTTATTTGTAACAATAAAAAAACTATGATTTAATAATTTGTGTTTTTTCTTGAAATAATTATTTTAGTTTTAAAAATTGGTAAATGTTAAATATTTTTTGTGTGAGACGAAATTTGGTAGTCAATCAGTGTGAAATTGTGTTACACGGTAAATCTGAGTGCTCCAAGGGGACATTCCCCCCTTGAACTTTTTTTTTTTCCCTGGAAAAGCTGGCTGTGAACATACAAATATATACTACTAGCATTTCATAACAAAGTGTAAACAGATCCTGTTGATTTTGATTTTTTATGAGCTGACCATTTAGCCATACATGTTAAGTGATTCGGAGTACTAGAATGAATTTCTAATTTTGATTTAGAGTTCTTTCCTTTACCTTTTGAACCACTTATCTATAGTAATACATTAAAGATTTAACAGTGGTTATTGTAGGTAATATTAAATAAATTGTATTTGGAGTTTGTGAGCATTACATAATTTAAGCACCCAGTAGGGTAGATGAATAAAGTATGCCAGATACTTTAAAAATATAAACACTTACTTTTTTCCAATTGTTAAAACCTTTAGTTATAAACAGTGTTGGGAATTATCTAGATAACTTATCTAGATAATTATGTTACGATTTATCTAACGTTTAGCTTAGATAAAAAATGGGCTTATCTAGATACATTTATCTAGATAAATATTATAGTGCCACTACAAAATTATAAAACCAATGTTACTAAAATTCTAATGTAGTATAAATTATTTATAAAATTATATAAATATATTTCATGTTATTATTGTCAACGAGTATTATGAGAACCTGCATGCGGGCATGCACTATACATCGTTCTCTACTAGCCATAAATCATAATGAGCATATTAAAATTAATTAGGTATAGGTTTATTTCCCCATCCATTCTAAAAATAAATAAATATTGTAAAGTATATTGTAAGGTGATGGGCCCCCTTGCAATATCATTGGATAAATTGCAGGGTGAAAGGTCTTGTCATTTAGGTTTTGTTGCCCCTACTATACTGGCATTAAGACTTTTATTAATACAGATGGATAACTTGGTCCACTGTAGACCTTTATGTTTTAATATTATAAGCAGTTTGGAGAAGAGATTTGATTATATATTTGATTTAAAAAAAGTCAAAAGTAAATCCTTCATTTTATCTGCTATAATCCACCCAAAGTTTAAACAATCCTGGGTACCCAATAGATACAAATCATATTGTAAACAAATATTTTTTGATGAGTGCTATTTAATTAATACTGATAAAGATGCTGTTTTGAATATTGATGAAAATGTTGATAGTGATAGCAGTGACCAAGAATTTTTTCAAGTCCTATCAGAGAATTGTTTAGATGTGGATATTGATATTCAAAGCAATCATAATTGTATTAATGCTCAAGCTATGGAATATTTAAACTCAAAAAATAAAGATTTTAATGTTCTTAATTCATTTCCAATCATAAAAAAAATGTTTTTCAAATACAATACAACACTTCCCTCTTCTACACCAGTAGAGCGTTTATTTAGTAGTGGATCACAAATCATGACACCAAGAAGAAATCGTTTAAATGATAAAACATTTGAAATGCTTTTGTGTGTAGATGTCAGAATCTTAATTCAAACAACTTCTAATGTCATGTAGTTCTAACAAAAGGTTTATTAACATTGTTATTTGTTTTTGTTATAAAATATTTTTTTTTATTAATATTATACAGTTGTAATTTTATAATTATTTTTTTTTCTTATGAACTATTAAAAATGTTAATTTTGTTGTAGATGTCAGAATCTTAATTCAAACAAGTTCTAATGTCATGTAGTTCTAACAAAAGGTTTATAAACATTGTTTTTTGTTTTTGTTATAAAATATTTTTTTTTATTAATATTATACAGTTGTAATTTTATAATTATTTTTTTTTTGTCTTATGAACTATTAAAAATGTTGTAGGTATTCAATAATAAAACAATTCGCTTATATTTTAGCATTCAACTATTTCTTACCAAACATTGATTATAATGTATTATTTACTGTTTAAATGTTTTTTAAATATTTAAGTTCATCCTTTTTTAATATTGGTTTAATATGATTTACAAGTGGCTATAGCCTATCAGTGCATACATAGGCATTTGACAAGATTTATTTAGAACTGACTTTTCCTTGAGATAATACAAATTAATTATTTTTTACTTGACTAGTTTTGTATTAAAATGTATCAATTGTAATGGAACAAAACCGAGCCACCAAACACATGGTGCACTCTGGTGGTGTTCCATCACCCAAATGAATGAAACAACCGCCGCGCGCTCACGCAGTAATAACACGCCGCCGGTCAACTGTACAACACAGCCCATGCGAATGCAAAGCAAACTAGATAGCGCTGCCCCGCGTCGGATTAGAAGTCCGGACGCCGCCCGCAGTAGATTCAAGTTTACAGTATGAAGCAAGCAGAATAGAAGTTTGAAGTAAACAAATTCGGAATCAGCGTATTCCATACGATAATATTCATACCACTAGACACTTCAACACCTCATTGGAAGAACCAAGCAACCAGAAGTGTCCGTCATTATTTTAATCGGGACCCGCCGCCACCGAACCACAGATATATAGGCCGCTGGCCACCGATTCAGAATCAGTTCCCCTTCGCTGTAATACGAGAAACTTGGTACCGGACAATATCTAATATTGTAAGACGGACCAGTTTTTCGTATTAACTACCAGCACTGCCCTGAGACTCGGACGCTGGACGGTTAACCCGTAATACGGTGATCCATGTGGTCTTTCCCGGCAAACTCCCTGTCATCCGCCACCGTCCGAGTGTGTAGTGAGGCAGTATTTTTGTACGAGTTGTTTCACTGAGCCGCCGCCATTCGAGCCGAGCCGCCAGTCGAACTAAAAACCGCCGTGCATACGTCCTTTGTCCGGGAAGAGTCACAGTCAACGTCCGTCTACCGTCATACCACTGCCGTTTAAGCCGAGCTGAAAACCGCCGTGTATACGTCATTTGTCCGTGGAAGAGCGCCGCCATCCGAGTTGAGCCAGCCAAACCACACAAACGTCCGAACCACAACCGTGAGTTCCATGTCAAGCACATTCCCACCCCTTCATGTAACCCTAATAAATATTTTTTCTGTACACTCTAACGAGTATAACTCCAATAATTGTTATAAAAGAAAATATTGTAATACAAAACATATTAATTATGTCAAAAACAGATAATGAGCATATTGGTTCAAAATATTATATATTAATAAAACAATTAATTACAAACCAATAGCGTTTCATTACACAATTATTATTAATTCATTATCGTATGCATTTATATAAGTAGGTGTAGAAATATTATAGTATTAAAGAATTAAGGTTCAGCTAACTACATAATTTTGAACAGTGGAATACTAGTATTGGTTTAAATGTTTTGATGTTTCATTCTTATAGGTATAATATTCAAATAGTTAAATTTAAAGTCTCATACCGTTGTTTTTATAAATATTATGTCATTATATTGATAGAAATCTAATATTAAAAAAAAAAACTAAAAAACATTAAAAATAAGTGTAAAAAAATGATATTTATCTAGATATTTATCTAGATAAATTTATTGTTGTATTTATTTTTATCTAGATAAATTACATTTATGTTATCTTTATTTTTATCTAGATAATATTTTGTTAAAATTATCTTATCTTATCTAGATAATTATTTAGTTATCTATTCCCAACACTGGTTATAAATGTTTCTTCAGATTTACATTTGTTTGTACCAAATGTACGGCATGCATAGCAAAATACACTATCTTTTGAAATGCTATACTCAAGCCAATCGAATTGTTTAAATAACGCTGAAGTAAAAGCGCGATTTTGTGATCCAAAACAAGTTTTAGGATACGCCTAAATAAAAGATATTGCCGATATTGGAATAAGCAATCAGCAAAAGACAATAAGTTTTAGGCAAGCTATATATAATATTATATAAATTGTATATATTATAAAACTTCCGTCTAATATATTATGTAGGTGTTGCTGGGCCCGAGTCAATATCACCTAAATCTAAAATGTCATTAATATCACATTGTACATTTTGTGTGGGTTCATGTACAGCCGTCACAGGCATAGTATCATCTACAGATGCATCATCTTCAACATCAACAATTATGTTTGTAGTATTTATTGATGCCACTGAAATGTCTACAAACCGTTTAGGTTTACAGAAAATACTAAATAATTTATTTTCCATTTTGGTAAACACCAAACAGATTGAATTACAATATATGTATTATTCAAAAGTTCGTAATAGCAATATACCTAGCATAGAACAATAAAATTAGTGATAGGTATTCGGTACATTTCGTTTCCATCACGTGCTTGTAGCGCTTATCTTATATTCTTATCAGTTATCGCTATTGCATTTTATTGTTCTGTGATTTTAGTAAATAATAATAATAATCTAATACTATAAAATGAAGAACAGCTGACTGATAATATTGGGGTCCAATGGAAAGGAAAACGCCGGCTATAGCGAACCCTTGGCGTAAAAAATGAAGCACTGCTCCGTTTCCCCAGCCCGCCGGCCGTGTCCCGTCGATTCCTTATAGCGCGACCAATCGCGTACCTTCGCAGTGGCGGCGGTCGGTTTTAAAACGTTTTTCGTTATCACCTCTTTTCCTATCATTTCGCCGATTTTCGGAAAATTAGCTGTTTTTACACGATATCTTTTCGCCCTTTTATATACTTAATTCGAAGCCACCGGTGTGCTGTTTATATTCGTGCAATGTCGATCAATAAATACACTCCCGACCGGACTTTTTTGCCGATTTTTTCCTTTTCTCCCACCGTTTCGTCTATTCGCACCCGTTTGTGTCCGAATCGAGTCTTTTTGAAGCCGTTTATATGCGCTTTTCCCCCAAAATCGGTTCGTTCGCCTCGCAATCGCGTTTGGAAATTACGCCGGCGACCGACCAGCCGTACGCGTATATATACATGTATATAGGTGTATAATTTAATTTTTCCTTATGATTTAATAATTATTAACGGAAAACGCTTTTCACACGCCCCGTTAAATATATATATGGGAGATGCGCGTATTACAAGCGAATTATATGCGATTACATCGATGTACATCGGAAATATCGGTTTACGTCGCTCCGTAGTCGCACGGCTTAATTGTTGATGTTTTCACTGTCTTTCATATCTCAAACTGTGTCCGAGTAGGTTAGGCGTTAGGCAGGAAACACGTAGGTCCCGGGTTCAAATCCGTCGTACGCCGTCCGGGCATTGACACCGTTAATGCCATATGGTTTACACGGCCGCCCGAATCCCGACTTTTTTTGCATTTTTTTTTCACGTTATTTTTCATATAAATTAAATAATAATATAATAATACAGGAACATATCGTACATTATTATTATTTAAAGTCATTATCATTTTATATCACACAATAAATAGGTACATATTATATTTGTTTTATTAGGAATTATTAAAATTGCATATTTTTTAAAATTTCCATGATTGTTATATAAATATAGTTTGTATTTTATTTCGGTTTGCCTTGAAAGTTAATCTTGATTTTGACTTGAGAGTTGAGATGACTGACTTGCTAGACACTCCAACACGGTTTTTGACTTTACACTTTTTACATAAGAAAAGGCACCGGACATGCGAAGGCACATACCACTCTATGTGATATACCTACTATATATAGGTGATAGACGGATTGCTCATTTTAGTTTCGTCTTAAACGGTGATGATTGACTTGATAGACACTTTAACAAATAACATGCAGGTTTTTGCAGTTTTTTTTTAAATTAATATATATACACTATAGGTACATGTTTATATGTATTGGTTAATATAATAGTATGTATCTAACTACCTACCTATATGTTAATATTTTTTAGGAATTTTAATTTTTTGTTATATTATATCACACAATAAATACATATCATATTTGTTTGTATGTATATAGTTTGAATTTTTCGTAAATAATTTCGTAAGTTGTGTGATAGGGTTTTCACTTATAGCCGCTTGATGTCGTGTCTGCAATCCACCGCAGGTGGATTGCCTACCTGATTTGCTGTGGCACATAGTCCGCGATCCGACGAAGTCGGATTGCCTACCTAAGTGGCTAACTTGAAAGTTAATAGATTTTGACTTGAGATGACTGACTTGCTAGAAACTCCAACACGGTTTTCGACTTTACACTTTTTACATAGGTAAGATAAAGCACCGTTCATGCTACGGCACATACCACTCTATGTGCAGCTATACTCTATATAGGTGATCCTGGAGATCGTATCCAGCCTGGCAGCCTATCCATTTACAACGTTTGTGACGGATTGCTAGACACTCAAACTTTTAACATTCCCGCCAAAGCGTCTATCCTTATCTCTAATCCTTATCACAAATCCTAAACTTTCGTCTTACAACCTTTGCGACTTTTATAATTCATTGTCTCCAAAATCGGTACCCACTCTCAGCGATTCCAACGGGCCCCGAGTTATACTTAGAGCTAGTAACACAATAAAATAATGAATAGATGACGTATGGACGTATTTTAATAAAATAAGCACAATTTAACCTTAACGACATAATATCGACCGACAAAAACAACACATTATTGAAAGATAACGAATGGATCTTCGCAGGAAAAAATTTTTTGTGTCCGTATATAATATTGCCTACATTTAGCCCCTTTTTGCAGTTATCAAAATGTGATAACATTGATAAACCGATAATATCATTTCCATTATAAATTATAATATTATATTTTATTATATTTATTATAATTAAAATAGTTAAATACATTAATAGTTAATAAGTTATTAAAAAACACAATATCGTAATTTAAAATTTAAAAATACACAATTCATTGAGCATACAGTATAAATGTACAACCTATTTACGTGGAACATTATTTTAAATTTTCAATCTTTAGCTATAAAAGGTAAATCTATATATATAAAAATGAATGTATGTCAGTGTGTCAGTGTGTCTGTGTGTCTGTGTGTCCATGTTACCATGGTTACCAAGGTTGCCATGGTTACTAAGGTTACCAAGATTTCATATCAATCTATATCTTCTATATATATAAAAATGAATGTATGTCAGTGTGTCAGTGTGTCTGTGTGTCTGTGTGTCCATGTTACCATGGTTACCAAGGTTGCCATGGTTACTAAGGTTACCAAGATTTCATATCAATTATATAATATTTTGAAACTTATGGACCTTTTAGTTTTTAAATAGTTACCGTGGGTTTCAAAGCTATAATAATAATAGTTATTGGTTGCCAATGGTTTAACACGTTTGTTATTTATTATAGTGCCTAACGATTCATTTTTATAACTGAATTCAATTGCAACTATTATAAGAATTTCTACTATTATTAGTTAATTTATTATGCCCAACAACAAACGATCGATAAATAGTCCCGCAGTTCTAGCACGCAAGAAGCGGGAAACACGAGCCGCGGAAACAGACGAGCAAAGAGAAGCCAGGTTGAGGACCAACCGAGAACGTCAGTCCCTGGCCCGCTTATCCGAGCCAGACGAGCAAAGAGAAGCCAGGTTGAGTACCGACCGAGAACGGCGGTCCCGGGCCCGCTCATCCGAGACTGACGAGCAAAGAGAAGCCAGGTTGAGGACAAACCGAGAAAGTCAGTCCCTGGCCCGCTTATCCGAGCCAGACGAGCAAAGAGAAACCAGAGTGAGGACAAACCGTGAATGTCAGTCACGGGTCCGCTCATCTGAGACAGACGAGCAAAGAGAAGCCAGGTTGAGGACAAACCGAGAATGTCAGTCTAGGGCGCGCTCATCCGGGACAGACGAGCAAAGAGAAACAAAAAAAAAATTATTGGTTGCCGGGCAACAAAGTGCACGGGATCATTTGGTACAGAGATAGATTAGACTTCTGGGCGTAGACTAATTTAAAAAGGGAGAGGACCAGCCCCGGGAAGTGCTCAAACAGGGATTTTGAGTCATACGAAGTTGTCATTTTTAATGGGCAACGAAGTGCACGGGATCAGCTAGTTATATAATACAATTTTAAATTTGATAAATATTTTCAAAATTCGAACTAATACCCAGATAGCAATTGTGTAATGAAATTATTATTATTACAGTACTCAAATATTGTTATAAAAATAATGTTACTATAATAACATAACTATCCAACTAACATAATATTTTTACATTATAAATTATAATTAAAATAGTTAAATACATTAATAGTTAATAAATTTAATAATACACAATTCGAAAAAAAACACAATATTCATTATTCACTTACGATCTTCATTTAAAAGATACAATTCAACAATATATTAAGAAATTCATTTTCTTTTAACGCTATAAGAATGATCGTCATATGAATGAACATTTAAAACACTTGTTTCATTTAGTAAGGAATAAGGATTTTCTTATTATATTACCTTCACTCGACGACAATTGATGAAATTCAAGTTTATTTTTTTATTTTTAGTAAAGAAACATGGTTGTTTTTCAATATTTTTTTTTATGTTAATTGTATTTATATCTTCAGTTTGCATAGGTTTTGATTCGTTTGTAAGTAATTCAATAATTTTATTGCAATGTTTTAAAATATGCTTTTGTTTTTCTTCATTTATAGTCCCAGCTCGATTTTGCAGCTTATTTTATTTTCTATGATACTATACTACCATCTATACTGATTTTTATTCAAAGGGTATTAAATTATGTTCAAGATTCATAATAATTATAATAATATACTTTCTTTATTATAATAGCTTGATTATTATATTTGTTAAATAATATTATTATTAGCATACATTAAAAATAATTTTATTATAATATCTATAAAATAATATTATTAAATTACTGAATAAATATTATGTTAGTTGGATAGTTATGTTATTATAATAACATTATTTTTATAACAATATTTGTGTACTGTAATAATAATAATATCATTACACAATTGCTATCTTTGTATTAGTTCGAATTTTGAAAATATTTATCAAATTTAAAATTTTATTAAAAATTAAAATAAAATTTTACACAATAAATACATATCATATTTGTTTGTATGTATATTGTATATAGCTTGAATTTTTCGTAAATTATTTCGTAAGTTGTGTGATAGGGTTTTCACTTATAGCCGCTTGACGTCTGGTCTGCAATCCACCGCAGGTGGATTGCCTACCTGATTTGCTGTAGCACATTGTCCGCGATCCGACGAAGTCGGATTGCCTACCTAAGTGGCTAACTTGAAAGTTAATAGATTTTAACTTGAGATGACTGACTTGCTAGAAACTCAAACACGGTTTTCGACTTTACACTTTTTACATAAGATAAGGCACCGGTCATGCTACGGAACATACCACTCTATGTGCAGGTATACTCTATATCGGTGATCTTGGAGATCGTATCCAGCCTATCCATTTACAACGTTTGTGACGGATTGCTAGACGCTCAAACTTTAAACATTCCCGCCAAAGCGTCTAGCCTTATCTCCAATCCATATCACTAATCCTTATCACAAAACCTAAACTTTCGTCTTACAACCTTTGAGACTTTTATAATTCATTGTCTCCAAAATCGGTACCTACTCCCAGCGAGTCCGACGGGCCCCGAGTTACACTTAGAGCTAGTATAATATAAATTAATTATAATAATTTGTAGGGAAGTTTGTTTTCTATGTTGGTACAAATGTTCGGGAATTTACTGGTTTTTTTTTTTTTTCCTCGCCATGAAATTTCGGGAAAAGTATCTGATTGGGCATGGTTACAAACCGTTGGATTTAGAATTAGAATGTTTGATCTACCATATTTTTACTCAACCATATTATTTTTTTATATTATTTTTCAATATTTTATTTTTTTAAAATTAAAACTATGGTTGATCGAACAACTGAAACTTTCAGACGATTAGTGTCTGAACACAGAAAGGTTCGGAAACAAAACTTGGACAATATATTAAATGTCGTGGGTGACGAAAAATGGAAATCGTCGAAGGAGTTTATGCTGGCAGTAACAACATTCGTCTACCCATGCATCTTCGATCCAGATCAAGGATGTCGCGAAACGACCATAAAAATTGTGAAGACTCTGGTAGGCACTGGGACTGGGTGTGTTGAAGATATCGCACCAATTATTTGTGTTATACAAAACCGTATCGCACCAAAATACCAATTTATGAGAGAAAGGAAGGAAAAAGTACTGCAGTTTTTGGTGAATGCTCAAGAAGTTCATTTAGAAATTTTTCAATGTACAACTCGTAAAACAATTTTTGGGATTCTGATTCACAAGCATCGCATACTTGTGCAATTGCTTGAATAACTTGAAGTAAATATTTTTCAAATACAGTATCACATACTTCACATATTTCTAGTAAAATATAATATTATAATTTATAATGAAAATGATGTTATCGGTTTATCAATGTTATCACATTTTGATAACTGCAAAAAAGGGGCTAAATGTAGGCAATATGTATACGGACACAAACAATTTTTTCCTGCGAAGATCCATTCGTATATGGATAGGCCATTGAAGCTTATCATGCGTTCATGTATTACTATCAATTTTGAGGTTATATGGGGTAAAATGCATAGATAATAAAGATCTTAATTGTTCAATCTTTATTATCTATGGTAAAATGGTAAATATTATAATGGCAATTATTATTTGAAGTTTGAACATAACCTTAAATAGTACCCCATGCAAGAGAGAACATTCTTAAAGATATTTTCTCTCTCCCACAAAAAAGAACGCGACCTCATACAGTGTTAATATAGCCATGGCCTATCCATATCTTTATTTTCTATGCGTTATTGTCTGTCTCTCTTGTAGCTCTCTCTTCCCCCCAAAAAAACGTGCACGCTGCGGAGTGAGTATAGGCATGTCCTATCCATTCTTTTATTATTTATGATTTCAACTAGTTATACATCAAGGGATATGGCCACAAGAGCTGTAATATTATGGACAATGAAAGTGTGGTCAATAATATGTCAACAACATCTTGTGATGGTTTGGCAGACATTTCCAAAGCAATGTTTCCTGGGACATTTGTTGATACTAACTTTTCATTAAGCCGTACCAAGTTATCGTATTTAATCACATATTGTCTAGGTCACCATTTTAGAAAAATGTTATTGGATGAATGTCAGGCTTGTTACTACACAATTATTTATGATGAGACCACTAATTTTGAAGGCGTAAAAGAGTTACAGTGTGCAATAAGGTATTCGTGTGATGATACAAAAGGAGTAATTGTTCGTCACCTTGAAACATTTTTTATTGGTTCAGCGGCTGGTTTGATTTAAACAGATTATATTATTAAAGCAATAAACAATGCAAATCTTTCAATTGATAAGTTATTAATGCTTGGAAGTGATGGCCCAAATGTTAGTAAAATGGTTTTTAAATTAGTTAATGAAAATGTAAAAAAGTATTCGGGGTATCGGTTTGATAGATATCGACACATGAAATATTCACATTGTCCATAACGCTTTTTTAAAAGGATTAGAGATTATCGGAATCAGAGTATCAAATTTTGTTATTGATGTTTACTATTTTTTTCACGGATGGCCTAAACGATATGAAGATTATTCCAAAATACAAAAGGAAAATAGTATACCTTATCATACTTTTGTAAGTTTATTAAAATTATTTTTTATTAAGAAAAAGATAGTCACTTTTTATCTCTTAAAAAAATATAGTCACTTTAAGTCACATAAAAAAAAATTGATCACTTTTCTCACTTTTTTATTTCATTATTTGAGTTGCAGCCCTACAATTATATAGATAAAATCATTTGTCCTTTTTGATTTTTATTAAAAATATTAATTATTAATATATTGTACGTATAACATTTTTACGTGTTTTTTTTACTATAAAATACGATGGGGAATAATAAAAATAAAATACCAAGAAAACGATGCACATTTATTAAAGTGAAAGCTGTTTCACACATGCGCCATTACAGCGGTAAAAATGAAAGGTAAGTCGAATTTAACAGTAAAGTCTATACTAAAAAGGTAATTATTGAATTTTATGAGTATGAAAAAAACAATCTTTTTTTGATATTTGCTTTTATTCAAAAAGTATAAGTCGTAGAAACATGAAATTTTCACCAACAACTCCGATGAAAGTATTTATTTTACATTGATGTGTATTTTATTTTTTATTTTTGGGTATCATCACGTTTTTAAGCAGTAAAATTATTTCAATCTTAAAAATTATGGGTGGCCTTTCTTTGTGCTATTTATAGGCAGTTGAAATTTTCATTTTTTTTTTTTTTTTTTGAAATGTCGATAAAAAATATTTGATGAACGATTTTCTATCAAACGGTTTTAGCTACAAAATAAGTAAATAAAATATCCTAAGCTGATACAAATTATATTGTATTGTATTAATTTCATGATAAATAATTGTTCTTTTTATTATACAACAAATTAGTTCATCAATTTTTTCCAAATGTATCTCATGAAAATATTTCGAGCGATATTGAAACCGATATGAATTTGAAAAACAATTGGTATGTTTAATATTATTTTTCATTATTTTTTTTATCTCAAACAGTTAATTTTAATAATTTACAAAATACTTAAATATTATTGCAGTACTGGTCGTAGAATTATTGATGTATTTTAAATTTTTCAACAAATAAAAAATGATATGCACGATGCTGGATTTGGATGCCCTTTTATGAACTCTGAGTTAGTTAAGGAGATTCGTAATGGATATTACTGTACATGGATATTTATAATAACTACCAAAATCGAATCAGAAAGAACCGGGACATAAATTCAAGTCAATCAGGCAACTGTTACCGCCAGCATTTTAATTGGAATTGGTTACTTTCAACTCAAAGAGTTCTCAGCTATTATAGACGTTCCCTGTTTATCAAACAATACGTATGGTAAACTATTTGCGCAAATAAGTCAAAATATTGAACAGACTGCTTGGGAAAAAATGAGATTGGCAGGAGTTGAGGAAAAACGTTTGGCAATAGAAGCTGGGGAAATTCGGCGTTTGCTCAGCTATGGTACGCGCTCTAGTGGTTTTTTTTGTAACTACTCAAACGAGGTAACCATCGACGACAGTCTACAAATAGCAAATTTGACAATTTGTAGAGTAATTATTACGGTGCACAATATTATATTACAATATTATCTTGATTTTAGATTGTAAATTATATTATTTATATTATAGACTATAGTATTATACTATCACAGACTATAGGTATAGTAGACTACCTATTTTAATACCATTTATGAACTGCGTATCGCATCGTTTCGACTTTCGATGTTTCATATTATTATAGTGATATTTGATTTACGATTTAGTTCATACAATACGTTACAAAATGGAAGTTGGTGCAACATTTACTCCCCGTAAAAACAATTCCAACCGATTTTGTTGTGTTTATGGGTGTACTTCACTGGCTAGGAGAAATCCAGAAATTAAATTTGCTACATTTCCTAAAATTACTGATGCTGTAAGAAGAAAAAAATGGATCAATGTCCTGAAAATGGGAAAAAAAGTTACAGATTCTATGTCTGTTTGTTCTTTACACTTCAAACGAGATGATTATATAAATTTGCTATTGCAAATTGCTATTGCTGATTCTTTATTTTTATTCAATAATATATGCTGAATTTTCATGAGTATTTCATCAGATGGAGCTATTGCCTATTGTATTAGGTATTTTACTTTTATTAAAATAAGAATGGTTCTTTAATGGTTTAGGTGCATACGACTGTAAAGCTGGCTTTTTTTGATTCCATGTGCATTTTAAGTCAGTCTGTGAAACTTCTTCCAAAATATTTATGCCAGATCTAAAATTAGAATAGTAGCAGACAAAATAACTACCTACTAAATAAATTATTAAATAACCTGTTAATATGAAGTAATGTAGCAACAATATGTTTACAAGTCTGACTGGCACCTGCTTTACAAGAACAAACCATTTGGGATACAATCCATGTAATCTCATTTTGAAAGCTCAAAGTTCCATAAACTTCATGGGGTTTGTCTCGTAATGCAGATGTTTGAAGACACATAGCAAACAAATTGATATTAGCATCATCTTTGTTAGTATACCCACAGTGAATTAAATGCCCAGAATTTAAAATATTTTCTCCTTCAACCATGTTCCTTGTAGTTGGTGTTCCATTACAAAATGTATAAATTTCATTTAAACTGACCCTATTCATTTTAGGAATTTAAATAATAAGATATCACAAAATAACTGTATGTATATTATATTATAAATTATAATTAATAATAGTAATAATACTACTATTGTACTATGTTATTGATTATAAATCATAATAATTTGATATTTTGATCAATTATAAATAGTCTTATCTATTCTATTCACTAATAGAAAAGGTTTGTAATAATTATTATTTATCATTTATTATTTTCCATTATATCACGGTATACGCGTACCGTTTACCTCGTTTGAGATAGACCACGCCCACCGTTCAGATGCCAATTGGTTCAGATGGTACACCGTTATGTATTGTGTAGCTGACGGTCAATGGGGAAAACGCAGCTATAAATCAAAATATGATGCGTTGTCTGGAGCTGTAAGTACCAAAAAAAATGTAATTATAATACATATACTGAGTATTCAAAATACAATATAAATTAATATTAATGATTATTTACTATTGAAAACAAATAGGCCACAATCATCGGTTTTCGTACAAACAAAATACTGTTTGTATGAATAAGAAACTGTTATTGCTGTTTGTGTGAAAGAGCGCACCCACTTAAATTAACTGTCAGAGATCATAAATGTTTTTTAAACTGGGATAAAGCTTCGACTGGCGTGGAAGCTGATGGTATAGCCGAGAGGTTTGTAAGAAGTGTCAAATTACATGGTTTGAAGTTTAATAGATTTATTGGTAATATTAATTAATTAATTGTACAGCATCCAATAGTTAAAAAAAATAAAAATTCAGGTGATGGAGACAGTAGTTTTTTGAAACGGTTGTTGGAATTAGTTCCCTATGGCTCTCATCAATTAGTTTAAAAAATAGAATGTCGTAACCAAATTTTAAGGAATTACAGCACCAAATTATCAACTCTAACAAAAAAAATGAAAACACTAAAAAAAGAAGACTTCATTTTAATAGAACATCGTTTAAAAAATTTAAACATACTGGTCCGGACGAATTATATGGTCTAGCGGAGCTTTTGCCGATTGAAGAAAGATGCACATTAGAAAAATTGAAAGAAAAGACAAAAAAGGGGGCTTATAACATCTATTACGTTATGCAAATACCAAATGGATATTTTAGAAGTCGATATAAGAGAACAAAGTTCCAGTTCAAAATGGTTTACAGAAAGGCGTAATAACAGATTAACTGCCTCCGATTTCGGAAAAATTTGTAAGATGCTTGAAACTACGTCTTGTAAAAATACAGTATTCAATAAACTTTACAATTCATCTGGAAATGTAAATGAACTACAAACATGTAAATATGGAAAGAATATGGAATCTCTAGCTATTAAATATTTTAAAAACAAAATAGGCGTACAAGTCAATCGATGTGGTTTATTTATTGACAAATTATATCCCTATTTAGGAGCTTCACCAGGTATACCTATAAGTATTATTCATTGTTTAAAATATATATAAAATATAATCATCAATAAAATTTTTAATTTCAGGCGGACTTATTGATCACAATACTATTTTAGAAATAAAATGTCCATATGCAGCAAGAGACTGTCAAACCCTTAACGAAGCAATCGAAACTAAAAAAGTAAGTGCCTATAAATTGGCTATTTTAATGAAATTTAATAATTGAAATTTATTTTTTTATTATATAAAATATTAAAATATATGATAATACCTATTATAGATATACTTTTTAAAAATAAACGAAGACGGACAAGTGATCTTAAAGCTTGACCATAATTACTTTTATCAAATAATTGGGCAGTAAAGAATTTCATCAAAATTATTTTGTTATTTTGTTGTGCATTCAAAAAACTGGACGCATAATACACAAAAAATCGAATATGATTCTCAGTTTTGGACTGAAATAATGGAGATGAAATTAAAAACAATTTTACAATACTAATTTATTCAACTGTTAATTGAACTTAACACAAAATAATTATATTTGTTGTCAGGTTTTATTGTGAATGTCTACTGCCGGAGATTGTCGACCCCCAGTTCGGAAAACGAGGTATATTAAGTGATATAATCGAGCCAGAATATATAATTCAAGCACAACAAAAACAAAAAAACAAGAACATAATAGCAAAAAAATTATAAATAAATATGATTATACCCCTTATAATAAATTTAATTAAATAAATATTTAATAAATTGTATTTAATTTCGATATATTTATTTAAATATATCACATAAAAAAAAATATTAATTACAAATATATTTTACCCTAGGTATTATAATATTTGAATCAGTATTAATGCGATAACTACAAATCAAGATAATATGTCGTTTTTACTCTATATATTGCTACATAAATTTAAGTCAGCAGTAACTTTCAAAATACGAGTAAATATATATATAAAAAAATATTAAATATGATATACATATATAATATATTTTTGATATAATTTTAATTAATTATACCTAAACAAAAATATGGAACACAAGTTAAAAACGTAAAATATATTATATGCATAAATTACTTTTACGACATGGTCATGTATAGAGCCCGGATTTATATGCATTTAAAAAGTGTCAAATATGATGCAAATATGCAAAGAAAAAGTGGCTAAATATGCAATTATATGCATTATGTTACACTTTATAAAATGTGTTTTTTTTTTAAAAAAAACCACACTACTACACCAAAGAAAATTCTAAAAATGTTAACAAAAACAAAAAAAAATGATTATATCCACTGCTCTGTATTTCAAATCATTTAAATCAATCGAAAACATTTAGGAAACTTAAAAAAGAGAATACAAATAAAAAAACAACTAAAATCATACATAAATATTTTAGATCATTTAAAGTTACTCTTAAAAAACTAATGGAGAACTTAAAAAAAAAATACAAATCTTTTAATATAACATTTTTGAAAATTTAAATATTTTAAACATTTTACATTAATAATATAAATTTTAAAACTTGTCAGAACAACACTAAAAATTAAAATATTATAATAGGTTCTTTTTAATAATTTTCATAACAGTGAACAATAATATATTTTTCCATATTTTCTGATGTCATGGAAGTTCTTTTTTCAGTTAGAATTGACTTATACGTACTAAAAGACCTTTCTACATCCACCGAAGTTATCGGTGCAAACTTCATACATGAACACATAGAAGGAGTTAAATTAGATGGCATAATACTGTTTTCTTTACCTGACAAAATTGTTGTTATCTGCTTCGCGGTTTGGAATCCAACATTTTTTTCAATTAAATATAACAATTTTTCTTGAATTATTTTTCCCTGTTGTCCTGGTACTTTTTCCATCGCCAAAATAACATTATTTACTATTTGAATAGAATCACACAAAGTTAAACTAGAACGTTCCAAATTTTTTATACTTTTCACTAGTATAAAAAAATGAGATTGAATAAATGTAAGGTCATTTTTAACAGACTCCAAACTTAGCATATTAATACATTTTTTTATACTAACAACATTTTTATCTTCTAATTTCTGTAAAATTATTTTGAGATTATCAAAATGGTCTGCGCAAAAATTAGCTGCTTTAATCCATGTCCCCCATCTGGTTAACACTGGTTCTGGCGGCAAAGGCACACTGGGCATTATTTCTTTGTATACATCTACTCTCTGAGGTGCTTTAAGAAATACTTTTTTTAAATTACTAACCAAAGTATTTACATTGGGGTACATTTCTCTAACTTTTTCTGCTAGACGCTGGATCATGTGAGCAAGACATGAAATGTGTATCATATTGGGAAAAAATACGTTTAATGTTTTACCAGCTTTGATCATATATGGTGCTGCATCGGAACATAAAAGTAATACTTTTTCATCATTCCCACCATGAGGCCACAATATTCTCAGGCTGTCATTTACGAAGCGAGAAATTGTCGAATGATTAGTTTTGTCTAATTTTTTGCATGCAATTAAAAATGGTTTACTAGGACTTTGTTCATTTAACACACCAACCAAAAGGTTTGCAATATAACTACCGTTGATATCTGTAGTTTCATCAACGACTAAATATATATACGAGTCTCCAATTTTTTCTCTAATTTTTTCAATTGTACTTACATAACACGGATGTAAGAAAGATTTTCGTAGAGTGCTTTCATCAGGAATGTGTTTTTTTGTATAATTTTGTAAAAAATCGTGGAAGACTGGATTTTGTAGCTTAAACCAAGGTATATTTGCTGCTATGAGGCTCAAACACAGATCTTCATTAAAACTTGATGTTTTTGGTTTGATTTCATCTCCCATCAACATTTGTTTACTATTGTTAGAACTTTTTTTCAAACATTTCAAATGAAACTCGGTAGTTACATGTTGTGTTATTTGAAATTTTTTGTTACAACGCACTTGCCGGTCACAAACTTGACAATAAATTACTAATCCACTAGTGGTAAACACAGTTTTGTCGCGATTATAAGGCTCAATCCATCGAGTTATGGATGAACCCAAATTAGATTTAGTTTTTGGCATTTTGTCTTTGTTTTTAAAACGGGATAAACAAGCACTACAGCGGACAAACACGTTGACGTACGAAACTACGAAGATGGTCGATGACTGCGTATTAATTAATTGTCGTCGTGCCGGGTGGTGGTTATTATCACCGGTCGACATATTTCTGTCGGCCGGGAATTTCCGACTATTAGATTATTATTAGCGACTTTATTCGGGACGCGAGTGTGTACGTAGTACGTACTACGTATGTTTGTTAATACCTATCATATCTATTCATGCTCCGATCTCATACAGTGAGGTAATTCCAAAATTTATTGTAAAATATAATTATTTATTTATTAAAAACCTATTAAATATGCATGTCATATGCATTTATGAACAAATATGCAAAAACCCTCGAAATATGCAAAATATGCAATATAAAATTTGGTGTTTAAAATCGGTGTGGTATGAAACGTGGACATTTTAAACCCCCATAGACGTGCATACACTTAGTACGAACATGCAAATGCATATAAATCCGGGCTCTAGTCATGTATTATTTCGTAAATATATCTAATATATATATACCAAAAAAGTATATGTTATAAGATTTTAAAATACCTACAGGCTACAATAATAATTCATTTTATAAAACAATAGTTTAAATGTAATCGGACAATATTGTTTTATTTGAGTATAAGTAAATTAGTTAATTTTAGGCAGTAAATATGTACCCGATCTCCAAAAATTACAGAATAATAAATTAAGATTTTAGAGTACCTATTATTATTATCATTACGAGTATATTATAATTATTATATTACTATATTATATTAGGTATACTACCAACACATTATTAATTTAAAAAATATTTGTAATTACTTATTAGTTATTACCTATCATAATATTTTAATATAACATTAACAGTAAAAGATAAAACACGGAAAATTAATATTAATTTAATTGCGATATATTTTTTTTATTTACCATTTATTAGATTTTACTATAAGTATTTTATTTAAATTAGTAATAGTTCAATAACTACAAATCAAGCTATGTTATGATACAGTATCTACTATCTATATGTTGCGACATAAATTTAGGTAAGCAGTATCTTAATTAATAATCGGTAGGTCATAGGTACGCGTGGGTATTGAAATTATTACGCGGCATTTGCGTATAATGAATTTTATAATGTTACGAATCGTACTGGACAAACGTTCATATACGAATGAACGGCGCTCCCGAACGAGCATTCGTCGCCGCCGTCGGCCGGTTGCAAATGCGAAATGCGAATAGTAGGCATGACTTAAACGCCGCGCGCTTGCGGATCGTGAAAACACTTAACAGCGCATCCTCTTGGTTGTTGCATGCGTACATTTTTCGTGACACGTCCTCTCAAGGATTCGAAATTGAATCGCCAAAAATTTAGTGATATCACGCTTTTCAGTGAACTCGAAGAAAACAATCCAGATGACTATAAAAATTATCTTAGAATGGATTTAAAAGATTTTCAGTTTTTGCTTGAGCTTCTAGAACCAAAGATAAAAAAAGCAAGATACTGTAATGAGAGCTGCAATAAGTGCAGAAGAAAGACTTTTTGCAACTCTCAGATTTCTCGCCACTGGAAGATCTTATGAAGACTTGAAGTTTAGTACGTGCATATCAGCTGCCAGCTTATCATTTATTATTCCAGAGATATGTGTAAAGCGATATTATAAGCCTTAAAAATGGATTACATGAAGGTAATTATTAATATTTTTATATTTATAACATTAATTACGAGTTTAGTTTTAAAAAAAAGTGAAAGTGGTTGTCAGCTTTGAACTGCAAATAACTATAAAAAAAACTATGTTTATCAACATTTTTGATTTTTTGGTGACAGTAGAAATACTTACGCAGAACCTTGTTTTTAATTTTATAATTTTTATGAAAAAAAATCATGCATAAGTATTTAAAATATTTTTTAACTGCTATAATAATTTTTGCAATATATCAGGAGCTTTATACATATTGTATCATATTGTATCAGTAAATTCATTGCTTCTCTCAGAATCTAAAAAATAAGTTGTTAAAAAAAAAACCTAACCAGTCGGGGGACTGCCGGTAGAAGTGAAAACTAGAAGAGTACATGTATATATGATAGTCATAAATCATACTTTTATCAACTAGAAACACTGAAAATTTTTCTGGATTTCTTGATGATTTTAAAATAAGTTCTATATAGTCTTCTAAAGTGTATAGATGATCCACTCTGTTCAGTTGTTTTTTTATCAATGAAAAGTCACGATCACACTGCAAAACCGAGTGTCCTCTTTGTGGAAAAAACACCTGAACTTTTTTGAATTTTTTAATTTCAACTAGAGCCATAATCATTCTGAGTAATGCGTGGTTTTTGTTTTGCCCAGCACAATTGTCACAAAACAAATGCAATTCCTCAACATCATCATCAACAAAATTATTAATATAGTGAACCAAAAAAGAGCATACATCATTTGGTGTTTTTCTTGCTGTTGCCTTATGATAAACATAACAAAATAAATTATTCGTGTTTAAATTATGAATACCAAAAGTATTGACAGATAATTTCAACCGGTTTTATATTCATAACTCTATACTTATGATCATACTTTTTTCCTCACTCGCAAATGCTTTCTTATACGGGGTGCCCAACGTGCCTAAAGAAGTTTTCACTTCAAAAATATTGCGATGTTGCTGGTAAAGTGCCTTTGTTTTAAACAATTACAACAAAAAAAACCAAGTATAACAAAAAAAATTATATATATTTTATATTTCCCATAAATAACAAAATAAAATAGTTTACTAGGAACTTCCTTTAAAACCCTAGATTACTAACCTTATTTATTTGCCTTTATTTCTAACCATTCGTCAATATGACGAATACTATAAATATTATGAACATTTAACCATTTTTAATTGTTTTTTTTCAATGAATCAAAAATATAATTTATAAAAACACAATAATTAAACTTTTGGATAACTTTATTGTAAATAATATTAGTAAAAAAACATTTTTCCTCATTTTTAAAATGTAAAATCGTTAAACCTCAACATAAATTATAACTTTATAAAGGTATAAAATAATTATATAAGTGTAGGTAATACACAGGTTATTTAGCATTACAAATTGGACAAGTTACTATTTGATGTTCTCCACAAATATGTTTTTTATATGTTGCACATTGAGTTTTTGTCATTCGCCTTTTTTTATAGATATAAAAAGTGAAAATTTTTCTTTTGTTGATTGATGTTCCCCCTTCTGTTTCTTGAGGTTGTAGTTGAACTGTGTCTTTTATTCCTAAACTATCTTCAATATGTTTCTTCAAATTTGTCGGCAATGTGGGAATAGAAAGTCTTGATCTCATTCAATCTCCACATAGTTGTTCTTGTAAACGTATCATGAATTGAAAACGAAACAAGGGTTTCGAGCCTGAAGTATTATTTTTGCAAAAATTATGTAAATAAATAACATATGCATTAATTGAAGCTATATTAATCATGTTATAGAAAATACATAATGGCCAACGTTGTGTTTTTCTGCCAGCTTTCATATTCTGACACATTTGGTCAAAGCTATCGACACCACCTTTTGTTTCATTATAGTCATAATTATTATTGGTTTTTTATTTGTTTCATCTATTGTGTTATCATCATGAAGTGAAGAAATTAAAGTTACAAGTTTGTAACCAAATTATTGGCAAATAAAAATAACGATGAATATGCTTTTCGATTGATATATTTTAGATCGATGAATTCATTTGAAAACTCTCGTTTATTTCGTTTTATTGTTCCAATAACAGTAAGTTTTTAATCTGCAAGTAATTTTTGTGTCAATGGAACACTAGTAAACCAATTATTCATGGTAATATTTCGGTTGGATCCTTTTACTGATGAAATTAAACGTTCAACAAAGTAATTAGCAGCAGGTTCATTAGTTGGAACAGTTCCCTTACCACAATACGGCAGTGCGCTTATCATATACTTGGTCGCATTGTCACACATCATTATTATTTTTACACCATACTTGTTTGGTTTAGATGGAATGTACATTTTAAATAGACATCGGCCTCTAAAACCATCCAACTGTTCATCAATAGTTAGGTATGAACTTGGCTTATATAAAGTTTCACTGCAATTTTTAATAAGAATATCCCAAACTTTTGGCGCAAATTTAGTTATAAGTCTTCTATTTTCTCGAGTATCTTTTGAATCAAATCTTAAACAACTTACTAAAAAATTAAATCTGGCAATCTGGCAAAGAACACCGTTGTTTATAACGATACGTCGCATGAACGAACAAAAAATAACATATTTTGATAACTATTCGTCAAATAAATGAATGCAAATATACTACAATTACTTACCATTCGTCGATTCGGCGAAGTAGTTCTTACACAATCAACGGCTGAAAAGTCACTAGTCATGCTAGATCGCTAAACGTTATCGGGATAGATATAGTACATAATATATGAGAGATACAAGGAGGGTTTAATGATATTAGATAAAATGTCTAAAAATAGCAACAATAAAATTATCAGTGTTCGTTGAATCGACGAATAGTTAGCGATCTAGTGTTAAAAAAAAATGATTTATGTTATAAAATAAATAATAAAACAATGAATCCTTTTTTAGATTATTATAAACATAATATGCCTGAGCTATAGTATATTTTTGGTTGAAACAAATAAAAAAAAACCTTCTTGGTAAAATTACGAAATAAAAACATAAAAATTAAACTTCTACTTTAAATGAAATATAAAATAAATTGTTGTTACCTTTGCATAAAAAAAATAAAAATATTTATTTATTATAGTTACATAATTCAAAACATAGTATTGGTTAATAGATTTTTAATTTTGCATATTTTGATCAATATTATTGTATGTACTTGGATATAATGTTGTCATTGGTGTATCATTAATGTTATCTGATTGAATGGATGGTGATGGACTTGATACATTTATGGAGTTTGATGTATAACAGTTTGGTCGTAGATAGTTATACGAATAGTTTGGATACATAGGAAATTGTTCATAATTTTGTGGGACCGGGACCGTAGACTTAGCACAAATATCCAATTCTGGTGTTAAGTTTTCTAATAATCCTTGTGTTAGTACTTTATTGATAAGTGCATCTGCATTAGGGTGGCCCTTATTTATGAACTTTCAAATTTTTAATTTCTCACCCTCCCAATTTTTTCATAACCATACAAAAGTTATTTGGGTAAAATTTGGGGATGATTAATAACCCCCTTCAGGTGCCGCAAGAGGGTTGAATATTCATCAAATAGGGTAGTTTTAGGGTTATTCTGATTTAATTCATTATATATTGCGTTTAGCATAAAATTGTATAGGACCTAAATTGTAGATTCAGGTACTCTCTATAAAAAACGTTCAGACAAAGTTTCTCGTAAATCTATTATTTTCTGTAAAAATTAGAATAAAATAAAAATTATTACCTTTTTCTGAAAAAAAAAAAAATCGAAATTTTCCATTTATTCTCTATATGATTGCTTTTACTTATTTAATATATCTCTGTTACGAGAATGTAACAAAACGTCTATAATAACTGCGTTATCTTACGACTGGATAAGAAATTAAAGAATATCTAATGGATAGGTTAGCTGCATGACACTTTTAATGGGTGTCATTATTTTCAAATGTGTGGTGTAAAAACGGTTCGCACGCCCGCTCGAAGGTTAAATTATATCTTATCTATATTTGTATATTTCTATTTGCTAGAAAAATAGTCTCTTGTCTTACATTGGGATGGAAAACTTCTACCAGATATTACATATGGAAAATCAAAAGTAGATAGGTTACCTGTAATTGTTTCGTTTGAGGGAATAACTCAATTACTTGGTGTGCCAAAGCTCAAAAGTGGTACTGGAGAACAACAAGCAAATGCAATATTTGATATTATAAATGATTGGGGTGTAACAAATAAAGTACAAGCTTTATGTTGTGATACGACGGCATCAAACACGGGTCGGTTAAATGGTGCCTGTATTATATTGGAACAACTGATAGGACGAAATCTTTTATATTTACCTTGTAGGCGACATATATACGAATTAGTGCTAAGAAGTGTTTTTGAAATTAAATTAAAAATAAATACTATTGGTCCTGATGTTCCTATTTTTAAAAAATTCCAACAAGCCTGGCCCGAAATTGACTTAAAAAAGTATGAAATTGGAATAAATGATGCAGTTGTAAAATCTACAGTTGAAACAAATAAATCTCAAATTATAGACTTCTGTTTACAAAATTAAAAAAAAAAACAATGTAGAGATGATTACAAAGAACTTCTAGAGTTGACTGTTATTTTTTTAGGTGAAAACCCACCAAACGGTATATTTTTTCACTATCCTGGTGCTTTTCACCATGCCAAGTGGATGTCAAAGGCAATTTATTCATTCAAAATATATATGTTTCGAAAACAATTTAAACTTAATGTTCGAGAAGAAAATGCATTTCGAGATATATGTATTTTTCTAATTACGATATACGTAGAAGCATGGTTTAGATGCCCTGCTGCAATTGAAGCACCTTATAACTTCATATTTTTAAAAAAATTAATCGAATACCCAGATAAAGCTATTTCTGAAACAGCTACACATAAATTTTGTGGACACTTATGGTACCTTGCGCCGGAAAGTATAGCCTTATCATTTTTTGATTTTCGGGTGCCAACCGAAATTAAAATTAAAATGGTGGAAGCACTTAAATCAACCCAGAACAATGATGATACAATTAAAAAAATTGTTTTGAGTAAAGAGGGTATAAAAACATTTATAAAAAAAGAATTACATGAATTTGTATCACCAGAAACAGTCAACTTTTTTTCAAGATTTAAAATTTCAGCTGACTTCATAGATTTCCACCCGGATAATTGGAAAGAAAGAGAAGACTATAAAAAAGGAATTAATATTTTAACAGAGTTATCAGTCATAAATGATGTTGCAGAAAGAGGTGTTAAGTTAATTCAAGAATACAATAGTATACTGACGAAAGATGAAAATCAAAAACAATTTCTATTACAAGTTGTAAATGATTATAGAACAAATTACCCTGACTGTAAAAAAAATACATTAATTCGTTCGTAATTAATAAATATTTTATTTGAATGTAACGTATCTAATTTTCACATTGTATTACTCCATTGAAGATTGAACCACTTTCTATTTATTTTTAAATGACACCAATATTTATGTACTTGTGTAAATAAACTTTTTTTTTTTTTAAGATTAAATTTTCCACAGAAATTAATAGATTTACGAGAAACTTTGTCTGAACGTTTTTTATAGAGAGTACCTGAATCTACAATTTAGGTGATATACAATTTTATGCTAAACGCAATATATAATGAATTAAATCAGAATAACCCTAAAACTACCCTATTTGATGAATATTCAACCCTCTTGCGGCACCTGAAGGGGGTTATTAATCATCCCCAAATTTTACCCACATAACTTTTGTATGGTTATGAAAAAATTGGGAGGGTGAGAAATCAAAAATATTTAACTTTCCTTACCCCCCTACTATATAAGGGCCACCCTAATCTGCATATATGGATTGTGTCGGATCCATCCTTTTCAGTTTCGAAGAAACACTTATCCCAATAGCGTCATATTCGTTAATATCTTCTTTAGATAACGCTTCTGAACATTTTTTTAAAAATTCATTTTGAAGATCATTGGCTTTTCGTTTCTTTTTTGTAGTGACATGAGGAGCGGTAGTAAAAAATTTGGTCGCTATTGGATCAACTTGAGTACCATCATCATTAAAATCATTCTTTATATTATGAGTTTGTATATTTGAACAGCCCTAAACAAATAATATAAATTCGTTTTACGATAATTTAAAAATTTTAAATTTAAATTAAATTTATACATTTTAGATTCTGAGCGGAGCGATGAATGTATTGATTTTACCATATGATGTGTTTATTTTCTGTCTGTCAGCAACATTTTGAATTGTAAAATCTCAAAAATGCTCTGATTTTTGAGATTAGCACCTTTTCTGATAGAAAAGTGAATGTAGTTAGTACTTTTGGGAGGGCAAAATCAAAAACTCCAAGAAGTTTTAGAAAGCTTCAAGAAAAACCAAAAAAAAGTGATAAAAATGTGGCCATTTTTATAATTTTTGAAAAAATCGGGTTTTTTTTTTTTTGTTGTATTTCCAAAACGAATAACTCATGAAATGTCATCATTTTCCATACATGGTAAAATGTTCGGACTATTTCGACTCTTTTGAGCTATATATAATTTATATCCATGATAATTTTTTCAAATTTTGTAAATTATTTTTCAGTTGTAGAAATGCATGAAAGTTTTTTTTCACAGCTAAGATAAGAAATTTTAATAGAAGGTTCCCAACAAGTTTTTCTTCTTTTATTAAAAATAAAATGTTCACCGGAAAGTTGAGTCATAAGATATTTACGATTTTTATAATTTTTTTTGTTTTAGCTCAGACTCGTTTTTCTTGTACAATGTTAATATTTCATTGAATTTAAATTTAACATAATCCATTACAGTGACCAACTTGTAACTTACTGTACATCAGAGCAACACCCACCTGCCCTCCTTTTTTATTTATTTAAATACAAATAAATGTGAATAATTACGATTGTAGTACAGTTTTCCCAATCTGTTTTTCCCAATCAATTTTTCCCAACTTAAACATTTCCCAAATCTAATATTCCCAATCTAATTTCTCCAATTTCAATATTTACCATAAATATATTATCACAATATATATTTTTACAAATTTAATATTTCCCAAAAAAAAACCTTATCTTATTTTTGTAAGTTATTTGTGTGCAGTCATGTCGTGTCATTAAGATAATAGTCTAGACTAGTGGTACGCGTATGTAATCATTTTTATTGCTTGGTTAATCGGATAAATGGTCGGTATCGATTATCGAATGGCCTTGTTATAAGGAACCGAACCCAGATTCCCTCCAACATTGTGGAACCAGTACCATGCAGTACTACAACGATTGGCAAGAATTAATAATTTGTCAGACGGCTGGCATAATCAGTTCCAAGTGGTTTTCGGACGACAACATCCAAGCGTCTATACATTTTTCACTGAACTTGGCAAAGAACAAGCCGACACTGAGTGCATGTTACGACCACTAAACTGGGACAAAAAATAAGGAAGGGTCGTAATATGGTACGGCTAAAAGTAGAGAAACGAATACATAATATTGTTGCATATCTCACGGCCATTGGTCATAATTTAAAATTTTAATACAGTTTTATTTATTTATTTTAAAATTAACAATTT